CCCCACCAGCCCTTTCATTATTCAGAAGAGACTCTGGATTGAAAAGGCTGAGGCAACTCACAAAGAAGGAGCCTCTAATTGGGGCGTTGTTAACTTCTCCAAGGGGACTGCATCTCGCTCCCCTGGCATCGCCAAGATGCAAGCCTCGAAACAACACCAGGCACCAGGCACCACCCACGCCCTGGCCCCAAAAGCACCCCCAGGCTCCACCCTCCTGCTTCTCCCTGTGGGGGTGCCTGGCCCAGACCCCTCCCCGCCACCTGCCACCCACAGCATCCCCAACCCACAGCAGAGGGTGGCTGAGGGGCAGAAAGGACAGCCGGGCCCTGCCCTGCAAGGCAGGATGCCCTACCACCCCCTAAACAGCCCCACGACCTGCTCCCCAGCCCTCCAGCCTGCGCGCCTGTGACTGGTGGCTCAGAATCCTGTTTCCTGAGCATGGGCTGTGTGCCAGACACTGCCCTCGCCCTGCCTGTGCCCCAAGCGAGTACACAGGCAGGTGCACTGTCACGCTTGGTTTACTGATGGAGAGATGGAGAACCACGGAGCTCAGGCATGATCTAAACCCACACGGTCAGCACACGGCAGACCTGGGGCTAAAGCATGCACAGTCGGTAAAGCCGGCACACCTGTAACTGCCGCCTGCACCTGCAGGCTCACCTCCAACCTGGGCACTCCTTAGGGGCCAGGCCATGACCTCGCACCTCTGCTCCTTGGGGCTGGCACAGGGCCCAGCATAAAGCCACACCCAACACATGTTTGCAGTGTGAATGAAAACGAGGCAACTTCCTGTTCACTCTCGAACCACAGACTCGTGACAAAGACAGAAGATGGCCTGGTCCCCGATTCACATCACGCAGAGACCCAGAGGTGACAGAGCCCGGGGAGATCCTCGGGCTCTCCTCGATGGGCGTTTCCCTTTCACCCAGAGCATACAGGGACTGGATCAGCAGCAGGCCTGAGTGTACAGGGACTGGGTCAGCAGCAGCCCTGAGCGTATAGGACTGGGTCAGCAGCCAGCACCCCAAGCATACAGGGACTGGGTCAGCAGCAGCACCACCAACTGTGCTCCTGGGCCTGGCTCACATCCCAGCTTAAACACAGTGCTGGGCCAGGTCCCAGCCCTGCTGCGGGAACCTCCTCTCTGTGTCCCTGACAGCATGGGCTGGCTCCTGTCTGCACCTACACACCTCAAGGCATGGGATGCTCACCACTGACTGGCAAGGCCACCTGGCTCCTCCACCTGGGGACAGCTCATGGCTGTGGCAATTGCAGCTGTGGTCACCTGCAGTCAGGGGTTGAACTGTGCCCCCCCCCAAGAGTCCTACGTGGAAGTTCTAACCCCCAGTGCCTCGGAGTGGACAGTGGGTCACTGCAGGTATAATCAGCTTATCAGGATGGGGTCACACGGGGGCAGGTGGGTCCTGCGTCCAGCCACTGGTGTCCTTGTGAGAAGGGGAGACTGGGAGACAGTCTCAGCTGCTGAGCGTTACACAGATACCTGGTGCAGGGACACGGGGGAGGACAGCACTGCCAGCCAAGGAGAGGGGCCTGTGCCCGACCCCTGCATCACAGCCCCAGAGCCAGCCGGGCCGGCACCCTGACCCCAGACCCAGCCTCCAGAATGCAGAGACCACAGCTTTCTGCTCAAGGCCCCCAGTCTCCGGTGCTCTGTCCCAGCAGCCGAGCAAACAAACACGGCCACAGACCCGGCTCTCAGTGCAGCCCTGGCCCTCCACCAGCTGTAGGCGCGGGACGAGCCCCTCTGGGTTTGCTCACAAGATGCCCAGAACGCTGCTGGGCACCCAGGACGTGTCCAATCAGTGCTCATTGAAAGAGTGGCTGTGCCTGCCACGAGCTGAGACGGAGCGGGCCGTGCTCTGGAAGCCTTGGACACACGGAGGGGACAGAAGGCGCGTCCTCGGAGGCCTGCACCGCCCGTAGGTCTCCTCTCTAATGCGCCCTGGGCAGAAGGGGCAACAGCACGCAGTGAGGAGGCCTTGGACAGGCGGAGGAGGGGCAGCTGAGTCCCTGACACCCCCTGAGCCCTGCACTCACTGGGGTGTCGGCAAGTGGGGCTGGGAAAGGAAGGCTCCCAGGCGCCAGGCGAGACCCCACCCCACAGGCAGCCTGGTCCACGGAGCAGCTTTTGGGAAGCAGATCAGCTCGGAGCGCAAGCCCTGCAGAGCTGGGGCTGCCCTGGAGAGGGTGAGACTCCCGTGGCTGCAGGTGTGCAAGGCAAGGTCGGGGGCCTCGCTCTCAGGGTCCCCGCGTGCCCTGGCGGGGGTCTCGCTTGGTCCAATCCTCAGGAGGTGGCTGAGGGCTTGTCCCTCTCCCAGACTGAGTCTGCCCAGTGCCATGGATCAGGGGGTCTGAGTGGACCCCTGTCTCTAACCACAACCAGAGTGTCCTGATGCATGGCCAGGCTTGGGCCCCGCCCCCCCGCCCCAAGTGCCGTGGCTTGAATGGAACTGCACTTGGGCTGAGTTTTGGCTTTGGGGCCTGGGGGTGCAGGGCCGCATGTGGCCGGGGCACCACCCTAGGGACAAGCGGATGAGGGCGGAGGTGGAGGACGAGCCGAGGAGGACGACCCCAGGTGAGCTGGGGTAACTCGACCATGAGCCACAGGTCTTGGGGGCGGGTAGAGAGAAGAGGGGAGGCAGGGAATTTGTTCTGGAGATGGTGGGACTTGGACGGTGTGAGAAAAGCATCATGGGACTGGTGACAAGGCAGGACACTGAGCCTGGAGGGCAGGGCTTGAACCAGACCACAAAAGGCCCAAATCGTGGGACAAGGGGCCCGAACTGAAGCCCTGAGCAACAAGGAGCCCCTGGACGCCGTGGAGGAGGAGCAGGCCCCGAAGGAAGGCCACGGTAGTGGCCATGGCCAGGGCTCAGAGGGCGGGGCCCGGCCTCAGCAGCACAGGGGTCAGGGCCAGCCACCGAGCCGTGAGGGAGGGCATCCCGGGGCCGGTGAACCCCGACGGCTCCTCGGCAAGGCAGGGCGGCCCGTCCACCCTCCACAAGCAGGCCCTCACCCTGCGCCGCGTGGTCTGCTGGCGACTCCCACAGCCGCACCTGCAGCCCCTGTGCCCCCAGCGGCCGGTGCATGCGGCCCACGGTCCGCGTGCCTTCCCCACGCGGGCAAACACGTCCAGGCAGGGCTCGGCTTTCCCTGCACACCCGCTCCCGGCTCCTGTGCCTCGGCTCAGCCTGGGTCTCCCCTGTCCACCTGCTCTTTCCCAGCCCAGGGCCCACCCTTCCAGCTGCCCTCGGCAGTCTCTCCCACGCTGCCCAGCTCTGCCACTGCTCCTTGGGACGGGGCAGGGGTCTCCTTGCTGACCTGCCCGCCCACTCCTGCCCTTGCCTGCCTGTCTTTCCTCCACCAGGAGAGGGGCCTGTGGGCCCGGAGTCACTGCTACCACAGGGCCTGCTCCCTCTTCTTGGGCCCTGGCTCAAAGGGCACCTCCTCTGAGGAGCCTTCCCTGACCACCCCTCCCCGGCTCCCCTCCCCAGCCCTCTCTCCACGGCACTGGTGACCCCCGAACTTTCTTTATGAATTTACTGATGTGGTTTTTCTGTCTAGCAAGGCTCTGTTGGGGGTGGGAGGGCTGGTCCAACCTGCTCACTGTGGATGCCAGGGTCAGAGGAACAAGAGGACGTAACAGTCAGAGGAATGACGAATGAGCCACCGACTGGATGACGACTTTGCACAGCACCGAGCGTCTACCACAAGCGCCCAGCGGCAACTCAGGGAAAACCAGACCCACAGCCACCAGCAAGCCCACCCTGGTGCGAGAGCAACTCTGGGGCCAGCAGGGGCACACAAGGGAGGGGATGCTGGGGAGGAGGCACCCGGCCTGGGAACAAGGGGAGCCCATGGGAGCAGCGGCCGCTCAGAGCAGGTACAGCCTCCACCCTCCTGCAGGCGGGAGCCCAGGTGGACTCACCAGCGGCACAGCAAACCACACTGGGCCTGCGAGTGACCAGGGCCCTGCAGCTGTGGTGTGGGGTCTCCCAGCCTTGCCTCCCCTCCCACAGCTGCTCCAACACAGGAACGGGGGGCCGGGGCGGGGTGGGGGAGCAGGCAAGCAGAGGACGGCACAGAAAGACACCGGCTTCTCCGGACACAGTTCCAGCCCCCGACCCCAAAGCTTTGCTGCCCGTCTCAGCCCTCCACTCCTCGCTCTGTTCATCCAGGCCCTCAGGTGCCAACAAAATCCCTGGGAACCGTCACAATAGGCGGCGCAGAGCTGGTCCAACAGGCCAGGCACACGTGGCTGGGGCATCACGCTGCCACTAACAGCCCCACGGCGGCCACACGTGGGAGGCGGGGCCGCAAGCAATCCTGGCGCAGTATCAAGCGCAAGGGCAGCTGAGTCCAGCTGGGTCCCGACTGTGTCACAATACAGTTTGTGCAAGACGGTGGGCACAACGCCCCAGCACCCCCTCTTCTCCAGGGCGAGCAGGCACCGCCTTCCATCAGTCTTCAAAGGACCCCACAGGCTTCAAGACTCGGCCTGGCGTCCCCTCCCCTAGCTGACTCCCAGCCCCACCCTGGGGTGGTGCCCCTCGGGCAGTCCAAGAGGCCATCTGCTCCGTCCCCACAGAGCCACAGTGCCTGGAACGCACGCACACCACCCCAGGGCCTGGGCCTCAGCCTGCCCTGATGGCCGCTGGACCCGCATGCGGACTCCGGCCTGCAGCCCGTTCACACCAGGCCTTGGGGACACTTCCGGCCCCCCGAAGGCTTCTTGGACCCTAACTGTCTCTGTCCCCGTGGGCCCACTCCCTCCCGGCCTGTGGTCAGCCGCACACGTGGTGGGACACAGGACCCCAGCCTGCAAGCAGAGGCGCCTGTCGCAACCGCGGGGCTGGCACTGGCGAACATGCGCCAGCCTCTGAGCACTGCCGGGGCCCTCACTGCAAGCGGGGAGGGAGGCAGAGGGCAGCCCCCGGAAGCCCCCCCCAGGGCCCACGCCACCCCTGCCCGCCCCTTACCTCACGTCGGGTGGGCGCTTGGGGAGCGCAGCTGGGCCTGACTCAGTCGCCCTCTCTGCCGTGGGCACTGGCGGCTGTGGGAGGAAAGCGGAGCCGTTGTCAGCCAGAGCAGGGCGGCACAGGGGGCCTGGGGGCCACCGGGGGGTCCCACACACAAAAGGGGTCCGATCTCACCCGGCTGGACAATCCACACAGTCGCTTAACAAGGGGGTGACCTCAGTGCTGGGCGAACGTCCGGTGCACCCATGCAGGCAAAAACCACCGTAGAGCAAGCCACAGCATACATCACACACACCCCCACACCCGTGCACATGCCCACACGTGTACACGCATCAGCCGTGCGCTCAGACGCACAGGCTGCCAGCAGGGCAGGCAGGCTCTGGGAACACGCGCAGGGGTCTGGCCTGCCCCGGCCTACACTTCTCTACCCCAGCTCCGGGACATGGGAAACCCAAATCTCTGAGCCTCTCCCTTTCATCTGTAAAATGGGCGCAGCACCCTCCCGCCAGGAGGACAGAGAGGGCACCATGGCTTCGGCCTCCCCACAGGGCCCCCGAGAGAGGGGGCGGGCAGGCCGTGGGAGTGTCTGTCCCCGGCCTGGGCACCATCCTTCCAGTCCCCACGGACCTCAACCCCACCTCCCCCAGCCTCTCTGCAGAGCTGGCCCCGCCCTCTGTGAGTGGGGGACGCCAGCCCCAGTGATGCAGAGCACGGTCGGTCCTTGGCTGGAAGTAGAAGGAGGCATCCCCCCCCCCCCTCCCCCGCTCCCACTTCCTCCCCCCACCCCTCCCCTGCTCCCACTTCCCCGGCCCTGGGCACAGCAGCCCCCCTGCACCTCCATTTCCCGAGAACCTCACGGAAGTCCAAATTCACTTTATTTTTTGTTGCTTTTTTAAATTATCTATTTTATTTGAAAGGAAGAGAGAGATCGCCCATCTTCTGGTTCACTCTCCAAATGCCTGCAACAGCCAGGGCTGGGCCAGGCCGAAGCTGGAAGCCAGGACCTCCCTCCAGGTCTGCCCACATGGGTGGCAGGCACCCTAGTACTTGAGCTGTCGCCTGCTGCCTCCCAGGGCGCAGTCAGCAGGAAGCCAGAGTCGGGAGCGATCTGGGACTGGAACGCCGACACTCTGACGCGGGTTCCCAAACATCAGCTTAACCAAATGCAAGGCCCTGGATTTCCTCCTGAGCTGTCACCAGCTCCGTGTCTCTCCAAGTGTGGGGCCCAGGGGATTCGGTGGCTTGCCAATAAACACTTCCACTCTCCTAGGTGTGTGTGCCTCACTGGGAATCGGCACCTCACAGGCGCGACTTCATGAACACGTGGTTGGGGAGTCCTGCGCTAATCCACCTGCAAATATGAGCCGGCCAAAGACAGGGACTGAGAGAGGACAGGCGCAGGTGGCACCCAGAGGTGGCTCCAAAAGTGAGAGTGAAAGAAAGCACGCCGGCGTCTGCCCCAGCTCCAGGTCCCAGCAGTCCCACGAGGGTGACTGGCCCAGCCAGCACCGGCCCAGGGGACAGAAGGATGGGCGGAGGGGGCCGGGAGACGGCTGCCATCATGTGGCCTCGGGGTCCCTTCCAGAGGCAGCCCTTACCGAGTGCTAACGACGGAAACTCTGGCCACATGGGAGGTGTAGGTGGAGCGTCTCGCTGCCTGCACACTTCTCCAAGACAGAGGCAGAGAAATGGACACAGAGCAGGTCTCAGGCAGCCCCCGCTCTCCAGACAACACAACCACGAAGCGGTGGGAGCCAGACACGGAGGCCTGCCTGGCCCTACTGTGCAGCATCCCCAAACCCCACCCCTGTTGCCAGCCAGGCACGGGATGCCGATCCTAAAACAGGATGGGATGGGATGGAGCAGAGCCGGCTCAGCAAAGAGGGGCAGCCAGGGCCTGGCCAGCTCCTCAGGCCTGGGGCCCCCAAGCCAGGTCCAGCCAGCAGGAATGCCCTCAGCGACTGCCCGAGTGGGCTCCCGCTGGACTGGCACAGGCCGACCAGGCCCCGGCCAACACGACAGCCATCCCTGGCCCGCCTCCAGGCCACCTGGCTGGCGGCCCCGAGCCCAGTTCCACCTGAGCTGGCAGGGCCGGCCATCCCCGCCAAGCCCCAGCTGCCGCGCTCCAGACAATGAATGGGCCTCCTGCGCCCTTCCCCCCAAACCTTTGGGAGGCTCCCAGTCTCCTGGTGGCATCCTAAGGAGTTGCCATGGAAATGGGACCACAGGCAGAGCATGACAAGGATTTGGGGCAGGGGACGCAGCGGGAGAGGCAGAGCGTGCCAGTGCCGTCACGGACACAAGGCCCGCCCGTCGCCGAGTCCCTGGTAGGACCTGAGACCTCAGCCGTAGGCCGTGCGGAGGGGGGGGTGCCCACGGCTCCTGGCTCCTCGCCCCTCAGTGCAGCCCTGGGAGCTCGGCGAATGTGACGTCTGTGCACTCAGCAGAATTAATACCCGTGCCAGGGAATGTGCGACTCGCACAGGAACGGCGGCTCAGCGACACTGCCAGAGCGGGTTTAGGACGGTGGGGAGGGGAGGGGGTGAGGGTGCTGGGAGCCAGGAGGTGTGCACTGAGCCAAGCACCACGCACGTGACACACAGGCGTGCAGCTGCTCCAGGTCACACGCACATGACCACAGAGCTCGAGAGGCCCACGCCCATCGTACAGATGGGGAGACTACAGCCCAGCGAGGGTCAGGGTCACCCAGCAAGGCACCCAAAAAGCCAAGCCCAGAGCCCGGGCTCCTCTCCCCAAGACCTGAACCCTCTGCTCAACACCCCCCGGCTTCGCATGCATTCACTAATGCGACTTTGGCTGAGTGCCCACGACACGTGCATGGTGTGGAGACCAGAACAGGGCTCCTGTCCACCAGGAGTTTGCAAAGGGGACTGCTGCCGAGGAGGGGCCAGGAGCAGGGCAGAAGGCAGGAGCCTGGGGAGCGACCTGGAGTTGAGGACGTGCACCCCCGAGCCAGGCTTCAGGGACCTCTCAGTTCCCCCTCACTTCCCAATTGCTCCTGGAGCCAGAGGACCCCTGCACCCACCCGGGGCCCTCACCTGCAGGAGGTCATGGGGGGCATCCTCCCCACCGGCATCTCCAGGCCCCACAAATGAGGGATCATGGGAAAAGTGCACTGCTACACAGGAGCTCAACAAAGGCTGAGCCCAGCCACCCTCCATGCCATGGGCTCAGCACTTTGCCCACCACCCATTAGGTCCGAGCTCCCTCTTTCTCTCCGGGTGCCTGCTGTGAGCCAGGCACCGGGCAGAGGACAAGGGTGCCCCTTTGGTAGCTGCCCCGATGGAACTCAAGTCTCTTGGGCAGCAGCATGCATTGTCATGCATACACATGTGCGCACATATATGCGCATGTGTGTTGTGGTGCACTTGTGTGCACATGGTGTGTTTGTGCATGTGTATGTGTGCACATGTGTTGTGTGCGCATGTGTGCATATAGTACACATATGTGTGAACATGGTGTGTGGTGTATATGTTGTGTGTATGACACATGTGTGCATGTGTATGCGTGTGTGTGTGTGTGAGTCTTGTGTGTGTTTAGAGGCGGGGGCAACTGGGCCGAAAGCAAGAGGGGGGCCTCCCCAGGCCGGCCACACCCTCCCATGGGACGTGTTCACACAGGTGCAAACCAGGTCCCTGGGCAGCGGCCAGGTGGATCCCAGGGAGCTCAGTGCTAAGAGGCCAGAGGATGAAAGACCAGCAAGAAATGATGGAGGACCCCGGTGAAACAGAAAGGAGGGCAGTCTTGGAAGGCTTCCTGGTAGAGGAAGACCTAGGATCGATTCAGAGCCTGCTCTCTACTACCACAGGAAGTCTGTTTCCCTGAGACATGGAGCTGGACCACGACCCACCCTGCCAGCCCACAGGACCTGGGACTAGGCTGGCAGGGGGAGGGCAGGGGGACACATGTCCCCTGACAGCTGCCACCCTATCTCCAAGCCACCTCATGTCCCTATCGACCGTCCGCTGCCTGACGGGAAACCAGCTGGGGGCCCAGGAAGCAGCAGAGATGGGAATGGGGGGGGACAAAGAACGTGGGAGACAGAGACTGGAAGAGAGACAGCAGCAGGGACCCCAGAGCCAGGCAGATGGAGGGAGACGCACGAGATGAAGACGGATGGACAGAGCCAGTCCCGCACCTGCCAAGAGCCGCAGGCGCCCAGCTGGGAAGGAGCCTGCAAGCCGGCTTTGCAAAGATTTCTCAGCCATAAAACTCTTATTTGAAATGAAACCTCAGACAGGGGGTGGTGGGGGGAGCCTTCCAACACCAGACGTTAAATCCAGCAGCCATAAAGTGAAAATTTGACAAATCCAACCACATAAACACGTAAAACACCCGTGCGGCAAGCAGCACCAGAAGCAACACCCGAACGCCAGCAAGACACTGAAAGGAAATATCAGTAATATGCAAAGAGCCCCTACAAATCAATAAGAAGAAGACAAAAGAGAAAAATCGGCAGTGAGTTAAGTAAATCCGCAGAACAAGAACTAAATTGGCCAATAAACGCGGCGAAGGATGTTCTATGTCACTCGCGATCGGAAAAAGGCAAATGAAAATGACACAATTCCATTTTTTGCCCATCAGATGGGGGAAATTTAAATGATTGATAACAAGCAGTGCTGGCAAGGACGCGGGAAACGAGCGCTCGCGCCATCGGCGGGGGAGGGGGCTGGCTCAGCCTTTCAGGGGTGATTGGGCAATATTGATTAACGTTTGAAACCACACACCCCGCTTCTAGAAGCCTCTCCCGCGGCAAAAATAGCACGCGCACTCGCCTGTAAATCCCCGAGGCTGCTCCCGGCAGGGCTGCTGGGGAGGAGGAAAAAAAGAAACCGGAAGTGGCCTAACCGTTGATCAATACGGGACCATTCGAAGAGAACACAGCAGCTGTCAGCTGTGGCGGCCGGCGCCAGCACGAGGCGCGGCGACGGAGAGCAGGAGCCCAGGCTGCAGGACGCGGCTGCACGAGGAGCCCGCCACAAACAGCAGGTGCTCGGCGCGGCTGGAGCCCGGCCCGCGGGGTGGGGGCCCACTCGCAAGCCTCCCTCGTCCA